TGGGGGAAATCCAAGGAGGAAGAAGTTTTGGGATCCGGTTGTTACTAATTTTAATACTAAACTTGCCGCCTGGAAGTCTGCTGCCTTGTCCTTCGGAGGTCGTCTCACGTTGCTTAATTCGGTACTTTCTGCTCTTCCTACTTTCTTTATGTCTTTGTTTTTAATGCCGAATTCTGTGCTTGCCCATTTAATTAAGATTCAAAGGGATTTTTTATGGGGTGCAACTGAGGGAAAAAGGAAGATTGCGTGGGTTAAATGGGATGCAATTTGTTGTAGTAAGGCGAAAGGAGGATTAGGAGTTCCGGATTTGCGTAGGAGAAACTGGGCGATGTTGGGGAAATGGTGGTATAGGTTAGGAGATGGAAGGGAGGGGTTATGGAAGAGGGTAGTGAAAGATAAATATTATGATGGTGAAGGGGAGGTAAGTATGATCGATGTGGACACTGTGAGGGTGTCTAATATTTGGGGTGACATTATTTGTGTAGGTGGGCAATCAATGAAGCTTAAGAGTATGTTGGTGAAGGGGTTTCGATGGGAGGTGGGGGATGGTTGTCGGGTGAGTTTTTGGAGAGATGTTTGGGCGGGGAACAAATCGTTACGAGATTTATGTCCAAGGCTTTTTCAGTTAGCCGAATATAAAGAGAGCAAGGTGAAGGAAAATGGATTATGGGAAGGGGCTAGTTGGAAGTGGGATTTGAAGTGGCGGAGAGAGAGATTGGGGCGTGAACAGGATGAGGAGAAGAAGTTCTGGGAGGTTTTGGGTAGTGTTCAGCTTAGGCAAAGTGTGGTAGATACTTGGCAGTGGACTCATGAAATAGGAGGTAATTATACTGTGAAGACAGCATATGATTATTTAGAGTCTGTGGATTCCTTGCTTGAGGGTCATCTATGTAAATTAGTGTGGTGCGGGTTGGTGCCATCAAAAGTTAGTTTTTTTGGGTGGAGGTTGTGTCTAGACAGGCTGCCAACAAGATGGAATTTGCAAAAGAGAGGGATGGTATTCCAAGGGGATGGCATGGAGTGTGGATTATGTAAGGAAGGGGTGGAGGATGTTAATCATCTATTTTGCACTTGTAAGCTAGCTTGGTCAGTATGGGTTAAGGTGATTCGGTGGTGGGGCTTGGAGGTTGTGATGCCGGATAAGGTGAGGGATGTGGCAGATTTTTTCTTATGGTGTTTGGGTCATTTGGTGGGTAAGGAGATGGGAGCATGTATTTTTCTTGTAGTGGCTTGGTATCTTTGGTATTGGAGGAATGTCTTGGTATTTCAGAAGCATGGGGATTTTAGGGAGCAATTGTTAGAAGTAATTCAGGGGAAGTCTTTTTTTTGGATCAGGAATAAGGTGGAGGGGTGTGTTTTTTCTTTTGTTCAGTGGCAGAACAACCCGGTGGAATGTGCAAAGGAATTGTCCCGGTACAAGAAGTCTTTGAAGATTTTTAAGCAGCAACAGGGGAGGTGCTGATTCTCCTGAGGCTGTGACGTATTGCAAAGCCTGGGGGGCTGTTTGATCTATGTATGTTGTACTGGAAGTTTTTCTTTGTGCTGAAGCTTGTTTTAGAGTAATGGTCTGTTGGGTTCTGCTGTTTCACTTATGTGTATAAGGGCAGGAGCACCCCTTGTGCTCCATTAAAAATAAATAAATATTTTATTTGCTGATCAAAAAAAAAAATATAAGAATTGATTTTTATTATAAAAAATAATCATATTATATCACGAGATTTTTTAAGTTTTTATTTTTATTATTAAATTAAAAGTTTTTATTAGTTTTAATTCCCATAAAAATCAAGCATCTAAATTGCACAAATTCAAAACCGTCCTTTTAATTCAGTAGGTTTATAATATACGCTATGAAAATCGAAGAAGAAAAATACGGACGTTCTCACCTCCACCATCATCAATTCCGCCACTTTCCTCATGCATGGAGATGAGCAGGTCAGACTCAGACTTCGATTATATCTTCTCATTTTCATTTCATGTTGCAGAACCTCTCCTCTCGTCTCTACAATTTTATCTTTCTACACGGTAATGTTTTATTTTCTTTTTATCTTCCCAAACCTCCTTGCTATTTCTTTTACAATTACATATAGCAATGCTTCATTGTCTCGTTAGCTGTCTGTCTCACACAGGAATTTTGCATTTATCTGAATGAATACAAACTAAAGTTGTTTCCCTTTTCCGATGAAAAAAAGGGGTTAAATTTTCAGTCTTCGTTGCTTTCTTCTTATGCTGAAAGATAGAGTCCCATTTCTGGTTATGTGTGTAGTGATCAGAGATGGTTCACAACTCTGGTGAACTCTGCTATCTTGAGATGTCCAAAACAAAACTGTGTCCTTCTGGGCTGCTTCTTCTTGTCTTCAGCGCTTGTTGGAGCACAAAATTCCAAAACTCATCCAGATGAAGGTAGCTTTTTTTGCGTCTTGATTCAATAGTAGAGGCCACAAGGCGATTTTGCTTGAGCTTCTGCCATTCGCACTCGCGATTTTATTTTCAGAGAATGCCTAAGAGTTTACATTAATTTTAATGGTGATTAAGTATTAAAAAGTAATAAGAATGATATACTTATTATAAAATAAGAATATTAAAAATATAAAAATCATAAAAATTATATTAAATTAATTAAGTTATATCATAATTCTAGTTGACTAAATCAATTCATAATAAAAAGAATAAAATTTGAAATCATAGTTATAAATATAATAATATCAAATAATAGATAAAGATAATATATAGAAAAATAAAATCCAATTTAAAGAAATTGAAATCTTTAATTTTTTTATTATTAATGAATTATCTATTTTGATTTCCTAGAGTTTTAAAAAGAGGGCTGCTACCTACCTACAAAACTCTTTAAACCTGAATTTGGATGAATATTTGTAGAATTTTAAAAAATATAATTAAAATAGATCATGTGACCCACACCAAAATAATAATTAAAGGGATGGATTTCCTGAAAATGGCATAAGGAGTCGACACACTAAATAAGGTGCTGACACCTTCACTACATCGGTGAAGCAGAGTCTGCGTCGGCATTTTGGCCTTTGAAATAAATTTTGATTAATGGTAAAATGACAGTTTTGGTCTCTGACTTCTGAATTCTGCACAACTTAATCCTTAACTTTCTGAGCTCTATAATTTGGTGCTAAAAGTTGTGATTCCTTCCAAATAAATCATTTCTATACAAATAATAAAAATTATATAAAATCAAATAAAATTATATAAAACTCGTCAACAAATCAAAAACTCTACATAAATTTGTATATAAATTCAGCTCATCAGTAGTAATCAAGGCACTTGCTAATACATCTTAACGTCATTGAAAAGTTGCTGCCATAATCCCTTCACAATATTATAGCAAAATCAGTGGG